AGCGCAAGGATCCTAGCTCTGCAATACCTACGTCGTAGCTATGTAGAGAGAGACCTTAGTGTAGACCCGGAGCCATGTCGGTACACACCTGTAGGGTGACATTGGGTGTTTGCAGTGGGCGCAAGTGGACAAGAGAGGAGAAGAGATGATCGGGGCGGAAGAAACGAAACAAACAAAAGGGCGGCAAACGCGCGTACGTGTCGTGTTTCTCATGCCAGCCGACTTATTCCCTGTGATCTCTCTCTGATGTCTCTCTCTCACTCTCTCATTCTCAGTCTCACTCTCTCATTCGCAGTCTCACAGTCTCTCTCATTGCCAAGGATCATATATCTCACTCAGTCATTCATACCTGATTGACTATTCTACTTAAGCCTACAGCAGTTCCTCCCAAAGAAAGACATAAAAGAAGGAAAACAACCATCTATATCGGTACAGAGCTGCTTCGTCAGCCACACCGCCCCCCCCGGCAAAGTATCCGATCTGCCGGTGCTGGGTGTTTTGCAATATTTGGCGACATGCGGCATCCGTTCTAAGCGCCCACTGACACCCACAGTGCGGCTATGTTATCGGTGCCTTACCTTAGCGAACGGGGGGGCGGGAGGGGGCTGGGTCCAAGACAGCTGCGCATCTATCCCCCAACTTCATTTGAGGGTAGAATCGTTACGTGGGTGACGTTGACGTTGCCGTCGTCGTCATCGTGCACATCTCGCTTCTTCAGAATAGAAACGGCCCGCAGAATGGTATTCTGCTGTGCACAGGATACTCAGCAGCAGCATCATGCCCCTCCGCCGCGTTGCCCCCCTCCCGCTTCCACGGGGGGAGGGGGGCGCTGGATGGACAAGCAACTAAGTATCATGGTGAAAGCCTGGACTGTGTGATCTGCGTTTCTGCTGGCGTTTTCTCTTCTCGAATTGGTAACCAGTTCTTTTGGAGGCTTCGCCATGACCGGCTGCTTACTTTATTCTTGGGCGAAACTCAAAAACCTCCGGGGCCGTCACCGTCAAGTCAGCAGCCCCCCTCTCCCCGCCGTTGAAACTCGGGACTCGCGTCTTTCCCAACTGGCAGCTAGTCGCCGTTGTTCTCGTCTTGAACTTTGACGATGAGGGCCCATCACAATTTCTCGGCCTCCTCGGTCCCGACTCCGGCAGGCTGAGCATAGTCTTTACTATGGTCAACCTTGAGAACGGGGACATTTGACTTCCGTAGCCGACCCTCATCGGCGCACAATCGGATGAAAGCCTAGGTTTTCAGTCCGTCTCTGTGCAGTAAGCAGTAACGGTCAGAATCCCCCTCATGCCGGGACCAGCCCTGCGGCTGGATGGCAGTGTGTGCGCGAGACCACCAGCACACCATAATCCGCATTTGATAATCACCATTCACACCAGCAGAAAGTTGACCGTTTTCCATGTTTCATTCCTCCCACATCCAGTCTTTCTCGCCGCACCTTCATCCCACCGAGACGTGTGTGGCATACGCGGCAGCAACCCTCCAGCCGTCCCAGAACCGTCTGTCAACGTAACTCCCTTCACATCGGAGCAAACCATGACGGACTCGATTCTGCTTTGAGCTTCAAGGAGGGGAGGATCAGGTACCTTACTTACCACTGTGTGCCGTCGCCAGCCATCACAGAACAGAGACCCCCAAATCATCCTACGGCCCCCCCCCCCCCAAAAAAAAAGCTCCAGCGCAAGCCAGACCATGCGCTCCGTTGGCGGCGGTGGCAAAGGAGAAACGGCTTCCCCCACGAAACATGCAAAGCCCATCTGATCTATCTGACCAAAAGTTTCAGGAACAGACACTCTCGGGGGGGGGGGGGGGGGGGGAGGGTGACTGGGCAGAAGCGCCGACACAGCGTCGCCCTCACGGACCCATTCGACCAGTCTGACACTCCCGTCTCGCCAACCTAGACTCCCGGGCTCTCTCTTTTACTGCACCCAAAGTCCGCTAAACACGGGACCTCGCAGAACTGCCTGGGGCTTCCCGTCTTCATCGCAAAGGAAGCAGCCCCGGCTACGCGGTTGACCGCGAGCGCGAGGGGGGAGATGGCATAGTATTGATAGATGGGCAATCTCTAGGCTTGGTCTGGCACCCCGCCAAGAGAAGCACGGAGCGCGGAGCGCGGTTTCGGTCACGGCCGGCCAACTCTAAGTCGGGCAGCGCAAACAGAAGCAAACAGACAAGCCCGCCTTTGGCACACGTTCGTCACAGAACGGAGAAACTGCCACCCCTACTCTTGGACCCCTCACCCATCTGAAGGGGGCCCAGGTTGAACTAGTCCTAGCTCACACACACTCTCTCTCTCTAGGTATTGTATTCTTGTTTGGTCCGTCTTGTGATTTTCCCCCATGGACATCATGTTTGGATGCCCAGGCCAGTCCGCAAACCCAAAGACTCTGGAGACAGGGCGACGTGTAAGTCGTTTGGCCGTCAGAGGTAGGTGTCCGTATCATCGCAAGCGTCAATCACGTCCCCCCCCTCCCCGTATTCCGCATCCCCCGAAACCCTCCGGCTCGTGGCCCGGCTCCCAGCGGAGGTCCGGCGCGTCCCCCTCCCACGGCCGCAGAGCTTGTCGTCGTGACACCCACCGTCTTTTTTGTTTTGAATAGCCTCACGAAGGGTTTGTTTCCCTAACGGCGGCGTGAATCGCAGCACCATCCAACCTTGTTTTGTTTTTCCGTTTTATATCCTCAATCCGATAAAATCCTTCATGCTACCCCCAATCACAGCGCGCCCACTTCCCGACCTGCAGAAGACATTCATCTACCACCTGCCTAGTCCTTCCCGGCGGCAATCTACACCCACTGTCTTGCCGCTTCACGAAGCCGTAAGCCCTAGTCTCGGACAGGGAGGGGGATGCTCTGTTGCTGAAAGCGCGAGCGATGTAATTGGATAAACAGGGGGGACTAACCGCGGCAAAGAGCGCTTATTGGGGTGGTAGTGTTTAGTTGGTATGCATCCAGCATCCAAATGACTGCCGAAACGAGGCTGCAAGCTGCAGGGGGGGAGGGTTGCCGGCGTAGTCGTCCGCGGTTCTATGTAGCCGGGCAGTGGCGGCAATTTGATATACACTACATGGGCTCCCTGGAAGATGATCGCTGCTCGCGGTCAAGAATTTGGATAGCACCGTCGAGGGAAAGGAGCCGGGCCATCTTAGATTCCTTGGCCCCCCCCCCCCTCGCTGCATCGAGATGTCATCCGGCAGCTCAAAGCTCAGTTTCGTCTTCATCGCCGTTGCCTCGGGGTAGAACCGCAAACGTTGGCAGCATCGCGGTTTCGGAGAGGATGCTGGTGCCTGGAAGAGTTTTGGTCTGTCAGAGATTCCAGAGCACCACGTAGACGCTTGTCGCCATGGCCTGTGTGTAGCTTCACTTCTCCAGCCTTGCCTCTGGCGACCAATCGATGAGGCTATTCTGGTTCCTTCGCCAGAGGAGGTCCACTCGAGCGACAATCGATGGAGCGGTAGGCGGCACAAGTAGTCCAGAAAGGGACACGCTGAGGTTACACATGCTATCTTCATTGACTTGGACAATTGTCATCAGTTGGTCGGTTTCTATGTTGCGTGTAGCTGTGATATATGACCACACGCTACAACGACGGTGGGGAATCTCAAGGTCAATCTCGGCCTTCTGGGTTTGGCTATCCTTCACCGCCGATTCGCATGGTTCGTCACGTATTCATAGTGGAGTATGGTTTTTTTTTTTTGAATGGTTTTTTTCAGTACCAAGTCCGGTCGAGTCGATTTTCAGACTGACCTGCTCAAAGACCGATAGATATGTTTGTCCCCTTGTGTGACTTGTGTAACAACCTCGCATGCTCAACAGGGGGGGCCAGGGACGTAGCTTCTTTGTCAGTGCTTCCCCCATTCATCTCCGTAGTCCACCAAGATCAAACCTCGATGACAGACTTGTTCGTATGTCCTGTCCCACTGGGTGTTTATATTGATCGGAAACACCTAACGAAGAAGAGGCAAGTGGAAGGCCTCATAGACGAACTAGTAACCTCTATCTAGAAGCTCAGAGCGCTTAGGGATGGGCTTGACTTTGCCTCCTCATATTCATCCAAACCGACGGGTATCTATTCCGTCCGCCATTGATGTTGCGCAAAGACCTATTTACTGCCTATTGAGTCGAAGTCACTCTTACTGCAGCGTCTTCAGTTGTCCACCTTGCGGCGTCCTTGTGTGATACCACCAACTTCAGCCCGAGACACGAGGGTTTACATTAGAGGAACTCGGGGCATTAGTTCGGCTTTCACGCCGAAAGGCGACTTGAACCAACTGTTAAATCGCTCAATGCCTGTCAGTGGTGCTGTGGAAACCAACATCAACAGTTCTCACAGATAGGTGTTTACACCTCGGCTGTAGAGAACACGGAGGACATTAGTATGTTCGTATCATATGATTGATCCCGAAGCTGCAACAACCATCCGCAAAAACTCACAGCGAGGCCGAGCCCAGGACCACCCAATTCCACATCTGCCAACCCTGACATCTCGGGATACACCAGATCGACCCCTGTACCAACGGCATCGACTGCAAACATCGAGACAGCCCGCTGAGGAACAGCCCGATACCCTGACGAAGAATGCCGTCTGCCCTCGGGTCGTATAGGGGGCTGGCCGCCTTGGCCCAACCGCCAGACCCCACGACCGCAAAGCGGCCAACACGGCACCGCCACTTTCGGCATATTTCCCTCGTATTGCCAATCAATAAAGAGTCCATTTGTCGGGCTTTCCTATCAGGCTTCCCCTACAACGGGGGGGGGGCACTGGTCTGCAAGAATTGATAGTGTTATTGTTGTGTGAAATCAACCTCGGCGCAAAAACCTGCTCCAACATGTATAATCTATATCCCGTTACCAACCTTGCCGTTCAACGCCTCTCGAATCCAACCTCATAGATCCCGTCCCGTGTCACGACGCCCTCGGACCACACACACACACACACACACACACACACACACACACACAATCCCATTTCCAGCATGTTCATCGTATCCAGCCTCACTTCCACGCCGTCCTCCTCAGCCACTCTCCCACGACCCCCATGACCTTGACGGCCTTTGCGTTGCCGTCCCTGGTGCTCGCGGGGTCCATCTGCGCGGCGCCCATCTCGTGCATGTCGAAGGCGTGGACCACGTCCGGCACGAGCAGCCACTTGACGCTGCCCCGCGCGTCCGCCGCCTCCCACGCGAACCTCTCGTCCTCCAGCTCGAGCTCCTGCGGCTCCCGCCCGGCCCCCGCCGCCGGCTCGGGCCGCCCCACGGCGCCGCCGACGGGGGGCCGCGGCCGCCCGCCCAGCTTGCACGCCAGCTCCCACGCCTCGTAGGCGAGGTAGTCGAGCTCCGCCGCCACGATGCACACGTTGGCCGGCAGCTCTTCGCGCGCCGCGTACAGCGGCGACACAAGCGGGTTCCGCAGGTTCGTCCCGTACGGTATGTAGCTCCAGTCGAACACGTCGGCGAACTCGAGCACAAAGTCCCGCCGGGACCCCCGGATCCCCGGCAGCTTGCCGACCAGCTTACCCTACAGGACATCAAGATTGGGGAGACGTGTCTGCAGTTGATGGTGATGAGAGAACAGTAAGCTCGATCTGCGATCGAAAAGCGGCTTTGTTCATGGTCTGTAATACGACGAATGGCGCAAAACATTGGCCAAGAAGCGGGAGGAACCGGCTTCATAAGGCTGCCGCTTTCGATAAACCGAGCTAGGAGATTACACAGCTCGCCGGCGTGATCGGCACCGCACCGCTGTACCGTGACAGAGTATCGACTGTCGAGACCGCCAGATAAAATATGAGTTTAGCTTTTGAATGCCGTCCACCAAGTGGGC